CTTCCATTAGCTCCTTTGCCGCAGCGGTGCCAATGTTCTCAAAACAAAGGATTGGAAGGTCAGAGTAATCGTTTCGGACGGCTGGACTGTAGGTATAAAGGCACAACACTAAGTGACGAATGAGGATCACTTTGTCTCCAATCGTCAATTGATCGGGCGATTTGGGGAGAATCGTTCGATTCACGCGCCGTTGCAGCGTTGTACGAAGCTCATTAATCTGCTCAAGAGACTTCCAATTCCTAAACTCGGCCTCTGTCATGACCTGCGGAGGTGGCCTTGCCTTTTCCATCATCTCACGGACAGCAGTGTACCTCTTGTAATAAGCATCATAGAGTTGCTGCTCACTGGGAAATACTTTGCGCACGACCACTAGGAGGGGGTTTAAGCCCGTTGCCTGCATCGATAGCTTGGTGGAATAAGCGTTATCAAAATACTCAATAATAGCAGCTGAATCTTTAATCCAATCAAACTATCAAAGTCTCGAGCTGGAGCGTGAAGGCCTTTGAAGAGTCGCATAACATGGTTGCAGTATTGGAGAACAGTCAGAGGTTTTCGGGTGCCATCGTCAAAAACCTTGTGCAGTAGCTTTTCGCCTGTTGTTAGAGTGGTTACGGTTTTGATATCGTCGTTGGACGCTTGCATAACTAAGTTATCTAGATACTTGAAAATAATTTCGACCAAGCGACTTACCTCGAGGGCCTGGATAAGTGAATATCCAAGTTCAAAATCTTTTCATTGGTCTTGATGTCATGTAGGAGCTTTTACAGGTTATCTAACGACCAAAAGCTTCTAGAACCCGCATTGGTCCCCTTAGTAGATAGTAGATTTTCGGCCGATAAGTGAATAAGGCCAGATACTGTGAATATGGTGGTACATTTTTTGTGAAACGGTAGCTTTTTAGCAAGTTTATTATCTAGGGGACGGTATATCATGCAATCCATCACTTTTGAGGAGCTTATCTGGGTTTGCCAGCATATCTAGGTCGAGGACGGGATCCACATCGTCTATCCAAGTAATACTTGGGGCGTATCCCGGAGATGTACAATTGCTGTCATGAGCCATATCATCGGTCGGGACTTTGTGTGTTTTGACTCGCTGCTTTTGACGTTCACGGGCCTTGCGCCTGGCCCTTTGCGCATAGTTCAAGGCAAGTCTCCAGCTAACGTGTACAACGTACAAAGATCCATTACCGTTCAAGGTGGTCTTGTCCCAATGGGCGTTGAATCCCTCAGCAACGAGCGATCGAACAACCGCTCGTGTGATATGCGCAAGATCAAAAGGGTAAGTTAATGCTCGGATACCAGCCAAGCTACCGATATCGAGTGTCGTGCTCAAAAGACCCTGCTCGCGATAACATCGCACAATTGCAGACCTTGCGAGATCGAGTACATTCTTATCCATCTCAAGAATGGCAAACCGAGACTGGGGTCGATGCCCTAGAATCATGTCCATTTGGTTGTAAAGAGAGCTGTCTTGATGATAAGGAAACAAAAAATCCAAAGCTTCGAGCACCTACTTAATCTGCGGCCTGCACCTAACAACGTTTGAAAGCCTTTGAATTCTTAAACTTCTTCTCTATCTCGATAGCAATCCACCTCTGCCGAGCTTCTTCGAGTGCCTTTCTTGATCTTTCCAATGCGCTCTCATAGTCGGCAAACCTCACTAAGTATGCCATGTATTCATTGACGAGCGTCATCTCCACGTTCAGCCACGCCTTCCAAAGCATACCTCCGGCTTTTTGGGCACTTAATCCGGGTTTGAAACGGTCGGAATTGAGTGGCCCAAAGAGCTGCGTTGCGTAGTATGCACGAACCGTCTCCCAATTCGAACGGTCAATTGTGTTGCACTCCCGCTCTAAGATGTGATTGTAGAAGCGGGCAAACTGCTGTAGGTGCCTTGGACTCCTCCCCTGCATATGGGAAAGGGGACCATTCATGAACAAAGCATATGATTGAGAGAGGATGTACACCACCAATTACTCAATATCGATGAATGTACACGTCCAATAGCTATATAATCGTGTACATCAACCAACATGTTGACGAGCTAACAACAAAATCACTACTGGGCAACTCACCTCCACCTTGTCCGGATGGAATCGGAGAGACCATGCAGAATGATTCAAGTGAATCTGCCCGCTATTGAATCTTGCTTTGACCTCTTGGGCGCCAAACTCGGCATCCGCGAGCAGCCATGAGATAGGTGGTGGCATGTACTCTGGACCCTCGGGCTGGGGCGGTTGTGGGACAGCGGTGATGGCAAGGGCACGGTACTTTGCTATGTGACGCGTGCGAAAGACGGCCCGTTCTCCCGCAATCGTGGTCCTGTATTTTACAACGGCTGTCTGATTGCTTTCATGTCTCACTTGACGGGCGGCCTCTGGATCTAGACCATGGAACTTTGAGACGGGTCGGTCGCTCGGCAGCTTTGCCGGCTCGCAGCCGGTCCTCCTACGATGAGCTTCTAGGGCTTGCTTCGATGCAAAGCCCTTGCTGCAAGTCACGGGCTGAATATGTGAGTGCCGCTCGAGGCACACAAAGCAAGCGCCACTCTTCTCCCAAAGTTGTGGAGTGGCTTGCGGAATGGGAGGCTCGGGCAAAGCGGTTGCGGCGTCAGTGAATGTCGCCATAGTGTGACCTAGACGTGTCAAAGATTGAACGTTTAGTGCATCTCGCTATTCCCTAAGCTCATGCACTGATGACACATGATGGCAGCGAGCAGACGGGAAGACATGACAGACAGGAAGTTTGGTCTAATTCTCCTCGCCTCTCCTCAACCATGCCTGCCAACATGTTGGGCTATTATAGTTTACGGAGTGACCAGACAGGAAGACAGCACAGACAGGAGCATTGGCAAGCCTTTCTCAGGGCATATACTCAATATTCACATGGCATCATATCCGAAGGTTGTAATTCTCGGAGCCTATAGACGGGCAGACGGGACATACACGAGTTTGTAAAGCCCGACGGGTGCGCCGGGATATACTTCCTTCAAGCCACACAATATGCGCATGCATGCCCCTTTAAGTTGACGAGCGACCGATGGGCAACAGTACATACATACATATCAGCAAGATTGAGGAGGTTCCGACCATTTCATATTCATATCTGTTATAATTTTCTTTTGTCCAGAGGAAAAGAATTATAACGGATAAGCATTACGACTTTTCTCCTTCGGGCCTTCATTGTAAATATGTATGTAGTAAATGACCATACCCAAAAAGATGCTTAATATTATAATTGACTTTCCGGAAGAAAATTATAACAGATAAACAATGGGACTCTTTCCCTTTTGACCTCACGTGCAAATATGTATGTAATAAGGCCATGCCATACATTATCCCATTCCATATTATGTGCGTCAATTCAGAAGAAGTAAAACACAATGATTCTACCTTCAAACCTTTATTAGATAACATATATAGATTACCTACTTAAGAACAAAGGGCTACATATTGGCTTTTATCCCTAAGCAAGTGTTTGAATGAATCAAACGAATACAATATGGGATTGTCGATTCTATGATCACTTTAACTACGAACCACGGCGCGGACTTTGTGTTTGCGCCTTCAAGCACACACTCTAAGTGCGACGTGTTGAAAACAATATACATACGTTAACAGTCGCTGCAAGATTGAAGTGGATCGTGTACATTCACATAGAATCATCAAGATTATGAGAGATGTACACCAACCAATATCCAATACTAACACCCTACAAACCAACATGGAACTTTATAGAACCTAACGGACAAACCAGTGCTGGATTCTCATTCGAAACATACTTCAAATATTGGAGCAATAACAGCTAGAAAAGCCGTTAAATAAGTTACTCCAACGTAGCGGTGCCTCCGTTGTCAAGACAACTCTCCAAGGGACTGCCCAGGGGGTTTCAAGGCTAGACCTCGGTACCCTCGCTCTTGAGAACCGGTATACTCCCCCCCCAATCCGAGCTCGCTAGGCTTTCCTGGGCCTTTGTATCCATGGTTGATCATGACTACTTTCAAGCTCTTATTCTTGAGTGCACTGCAGTTCGAGACGAATGTACCGTCCACCTTTCGCTGAGGATCATGGTACGCCTCCAAAGCCGCCTTGGTGGAGATAAAGAGATCCTCTCCAACAATGCAGCTGTTGCGCACAAAGGCCTCGAAGTCGTCGTTTTCTTCTTCGTACTCACGAAGTGCCTGCTCACTCCGTTTTGGCATGGGGTAGAGCTGCTGTCCGTTTTGGTACCACTTCACAGCTCCCGCCACCAGCCACGCCAAAAGCTCTTGCATGTTCGGCTCCGTGGTCAACGTGGCAAGAAGCCGCGTATCCACGGGCCCGTGCAGCGGGTTGTTGGGGTCGTATCCCTTCTCGTGTGGGGAGAAGTAACGCTTGAGGAAGCACACGAGCTGCAGACGCCGCCGCAATGCAACGGACCAGGTCTTGTCCGTCTTTGGCAGGTAGTTGGTGCACAGGACGAGCTGCACAAAAGGAGGGGGACTGTTCTTAGTAAGCACTTCCAAGCGTTTTGTGAGTTGCATCCTCTAAAAGGGTGCGCACAGACGGGTTTCAGCAAGTCACAAAGGCAATGACTGCCCACTCAACTTACACATCTTGTGCACAGAACGACTTGCAAGAGGAAGACGATGCTGCTAAGCACTATGCACTATGCACTATGCATATTCAAACGTTTTGTTTGGCATCATTCAAAAAAGCAGGCAC